ATCACCAGAGTTACCCTTTTGAACTTGCCCTCTAAGGATGTGTTGTGACGTTGCATTCTGGACCATGAATAGAAGGTGTTAAGTCAAGCAATAGTGTTTAGTTTTAGTTTCATATTATTGTTTCTTAAGTGAAAATTTAGCTTCAAACTTTATTTAAAAGCTTTTTTTGTTTTTTTAATTTTTAGAGACAGGGTTTCACTCTCTCGCCTAGGCTGAAGTGCAGTGGCGTAATCATAGCTCACTGCAACCTTGAACTCCTGGGCTTGAGGGATCCTCCCACCCCAGCCTCCTAAAGAAGCTGGGACCAGAGGCACATGCCACCATACCCAGCCAATTATTTTTATTTACGTTTTAATAGAGATGAGCTTTTGCTTTGTTGCCCAGGCTAGTTTCGAACTCTTGGCTTCAATCATTCCTCCCACCTCAGCCTTCCAAAGTGTTAGGATTACAGGTGTAAGCCACTGTATCTGGCCTCAAACTTTATTCAAAACAGAAGGGGAAAATTACTAAATATCATGACAAAGAAAACATATAAAAATGTTATTATAAGTCATTTTACATTCTTATAGTGCTTTAATCCTCTCCATTGTAGGTACTTGTTAGCGTTTAGCTGCCTATGGATGACAAATATAAATAACCCAGGAGCTCACCCATCTTCTTTATTTTAGTGAAAGATGAAAAGTGTACAGTTCCAAACTCACTATCTTGGGAGGTGCAATCCTCCCAAGAGAAATATGAAAGTTTCTCTTACAAGAGAGTTGTTTCAGTTTTCAAACAGGGCATACATTAAGGTTATTAGTTTATACTTTTTATTATCTACATCCACTAGAAATAGAAGGACATACTTTCAGATGTACCTAAGATTTTTAAGTGAGTGAAGTATATACCATTCACTTACTCAAAACCCACCAAAATGTGCCTAAACATTCCGTTTCCAAGCATATGATTGAGAGGGAATAACATCTTGACTTTAAAAATGGAAGAACTAAGGATTTATTCCTGATATTCTTGGAAATATCCTTCTACAGAAACTGAAAAATGTACTGAATGCAGCTTGACCTGATTCTTACTTAAAACCAGGTCTTGACTGGAGCAGGGAAGGGAAGGAGAGCCCCACATACTCTGCTGCACCTGGAGGTCTAGTTCCTTCGTTCCTATCCAACGGGACTGAGCAGGGAAGGAAAAAGATGGTCCTTCCTCCCCTCGTTCTTCCTGGGTTCTGTCTTTTATCAGTTTGAAAGCTGTGTTCTGTACTTTTCTTGGAGTCAGGTCATAATATTTTTTTAACTAAATAACAAGAACCTGGGATTTTTATGTTCTACCCAAAGAGAGGTTATTGCTTTCCCTTCCCTGCAGAGGTTTTTAGAGGAGCTGTCCTTTCAGCACCCTAGTACTGAATCATATCTTTTAAACCTCCTTGCATTTATTTTTTCAATCCCTCCTGCGTTTAAATAAATATTTAACACCTACTGTGTGTTTACAACTGTGCTTAAGACTGGAGGAAAGAAGGGAGGGTACAAGAGAAAGTACAATAGTTAAAATTCCTTAAGGAGAATTCAGATACTCAGTTGAGGAAATAAGAAAACAGATACAAATTTGTTAAATAATCACACATCTTTTCATATGTGTAAAAGCTGCTAGAAAAACATGAATGTTCCTTCCCTTCATGACCAGGAAGACTAACCTGTATTTCTCCAAGAGGGTTTCTAATCTTTCTTTATAACATAGGCATATTTTCCTCATTCATAGAGATGACATCAGGCACAAATTAGTAATCAGTCAGGATTCATTTTGGGGCTCAGAAATGCTCAAGCTATTTTAAGCAAGAAAGAGATTTAGCACAGGAAATTCGGTGCTTGCAGAATTGTTGGAAGGGCTGAGAGAAGAGGCTCTCAGCTGGACCTGTGTGAACAACTCCCAGAACATAGCAGAACTGGCCCACCAGGTCAGCTGCTACCTCTCTAATTGGGAACATACAGAATCAGGAGCTGCCATTGAAGCTGTTGGCTTCAAAAACACCCTGTTGTGTCTGCAGCCCAGAGATTTGGCAACGACTTGGCTACAAAACATTCCTCTCCCCTTCTACAGACTTAGTGATTGGACACCAACATGCTGTTGCAAAAAATCCCCGCAGCAAGATGGTCTTCATCTCACGTCTGTCTTTCAAATCTTGTGCATCTAATTGGCAGAACTTAATTTGCATTCAGAACTTTAGCTGTAAAGGAGTCTGGGAAATGTAGTTTTTAGCTTCCTAGCCTCTGTAGTATTGAAATTTATGCTAGAAGGATTTTGGAATGGATACCGATTGCTAGTCTACAATATTCTTCCATGACATTCATTCTTCAGGAAGACTGCTGGATAAGGTGATAACCTCTTTAAACAGTTGGAATTTTGGGGTCAGGATGGGCCATACTTTTTGTATATCTAAAGACTATTCACCTAACTTATCCACCTAAGAGTTTCCTTTGTGCAGACTGCCAGTTGCATTACAAAATACAAATGAATATTAGCCCCAGATGGGATAGAGGTGCTATAATTGAGCAAGAACAGATTTTTTAGCACCACCAGCATCTGAGTGGAGAACGGAGGCGTTACAGGGCTGGCTGAGTAAGGAAGGGAGTAGTCAGCAGTGGCAGTTCCTCTTTTGGTCTTGCCAAAAGTTCAGAAATGTATCTTTGTTTTCTTAGGTTTTTTTTAGTAAAGTGTGATTATTTTCTGTATTTGTTTCAGAAGGTCCAGTTCCAGTTCAGTTTTTTTTTTTTTTAGATTTGAATTTGGTTTATTTCCTATTGAGATAGTGTGTTAGTCCATTCTTGCATTGCTTTGAAGGAATACCTGAGGCTGGGTAATTTATAAAGAAAGAAAGTTTTATTGGCTCACGATTCTGCAACCTGTATGGGAAGCATGGCACCAGCATCTGCTTGGCTCTGGTGAGGCCTCAGGGAGCTTTTTTTTATGGTGGAAGGTGAAGTGGGAGCAGGCATGTCACATGGTGGGAGCCAGGAGCAAGAGAGAAAAACCGGGGAGGTGCCACACTCTTTTAAACAACCAGATCTTGTGTGAATTCGAGCAAAAACTCACTCATTACTATGCCAAGCCATTCATGGAGGATCAGCCCTCATGACCCAAATATTCCCACCAGGCCCCACCACCAGCACTGGGGATTCCATTTCAACATGAAAATCAGAGGGGGCAAATATCCAAACCATATCAAGTAGATTTTTTTTTTCCATTTTATTTCAAGGATCTGTTGGTCACCTACAAAATGTTTGGCATGGTAAGTGCAGTGGTGAATAGAGCAGGCAGAATCTCTGCCCTCGTGGGTCTCATAATCTGGCCTGGACAATGGGCATTGAACAAGTAATTAAGTAATTATAACTTTGATGCCTCTTGTGGAATGGAAACTGCCATGGAAGTGTTTGATAGGGGCCTGACTTCATTTGGTCTTGGGGGTGGAGAAATTCCACTATGAAACTGATATTTAAGACCTGAGGTATGAGTATGAATCAGCCAGGTAAAGACAAAAGAAAAGAGAAGATACAGAACAGGGTTTCATGCAAGAAACAAAACATACTTTGCTCATATAGCACTTAGCACCATATGTAGCTCGATTTATAATCACTGGCAGCTATTATTATCTACCCATGAAAGCCTTTCCACACACAACGAAATATATAATCAAGTACCTTAGGTTCAAACTCTGGATTTGGGAAGGAGAATGATTGGTTGGGATACTGGGTGGGATACTGGGACCATCAGGGCTTGAACTGAGGCACAGATGACTGCTGGAATAAGATATCTCTTATGAGGCTCCTTTCCCATGTTTCAGTCACCAGGTCCAGGTAGAACCCAAGTTCTGAAAGTCTCTCAAATTGACTGCGTACTCCCCATATTCCCTGCTGCTGAGGTTAGACCTCAGAGCTGCAAGGCCTCCTTAGAGGGTCCTTTTGCTGTTGGGTCTCTGTCTTCCAGGTTAGTTTCCAGCGGCTGCCAGAGTTGGTTTCCTTTCTAAATTACAGGTCTAACAACATTCCTTTTCTGAAAGATACATGACTCCTCTTGTTTACAATGTGAAGTTCAAGCCCCTCAGAATGGCTTTAAAGACATTTCCTGGCCTGGTTACCCTCAACAAGGCTTTGAACCTTGTCTCCAGTCCTGATGCACATGACCCGGGCACAGCAGACTCCCTGGAGATCCTAATATACCGTATACTTCCTACTCCATGTTCTTGGCTCCTGTCCTTCCCTCTGCCTGATTGTCCTTCCCTACCCTGATTTCCTTCATTGCCTGAGATCTCTCCCACTCAGTCTTCAGGGCCCATTTCAAATGTTGCCTTCCCTGAGAATCCTTTCCCCGCTCACCTTAGTGCTGTGTGCTGCTGTGGGAGCTAGTGATTTTCCTAAGCCTCTAATCATACTTCTGCAGGAGCTCTTCTCATTCTATGGTTTGGTTGTTGGGTGTCTGCCTTGGCACTGATTTGGGTGCTTCTCACCACTGAGCACACAGTAAAGCTGAGTAAGTCTCAAAGAAAGGATCTTGGCCAGGTGCAGTGGTTCATGCCTGTAATCCCAGCAATTTGGGAGGCCGAGGCGGGAGGATTGCATTCGAGACCAGCCTGGGCAACATGGCAAAACCCCATCTCTATATTTAAATGTATTTTAAAAGAAGAAAGAACGGAAAAAAGGACCTCCCCCATATTCCCTTTAGTTACAATAGTTGATTTTGGTACAGGATTCTGCATGATTTTCCAGGTGGGAATTTTTTCATGAATATTTATAGAATGCCTACCGTGTGCTGACTGTCACTAAGGAAAATGCAAAGGCAAATAGATTAATTGCAGCTCCTGCCCTTATGGAATTTGCTTTATAATGGGGAGACAGAAAGGCCCAGTAAACAGACAACTTACCGTGTTTACCCATCCAGGTAAATGAAAGGTTAAATACGATGTTTTCAAGATGTTTTTGACTTGCTTCTTTTTTTCTTCCCTTTCTCAGTGTTAGAAATTGATTTTGCGGAGCTAACCTTGGAAGAGATTATTGGCATCGGGGGCTTTGGCAAGGTCTATCGTGCTTTCTGGATAGGGGATGAGGTTGCTGTGAAAGCAGCTCGCCATGACCCCGATGAGGACATCAGCCAGACTATAGAGAATGTTCGCCAAGAGGCCAAACTCTTCACCATGCTGAAGCACCCCAACATCATTGCCCTAAGAGGGGTATGTCTGAAGGAGCCCAACCTCTGCTTGGTCATGGAGTTTGCTCGTGGAGGACCTTTGAATAGAGTGTTATCTGGGAAAAGGATTCCCCCAGACATCCTGGTGAACTGGGCTGTGCAGATTGCCAGAGGGATGAACTACTTACATGATGAGGCAATTGTCCCCATCATCCACCGCGACCTTAAGTCCAGCAACAGTGAGTATGAAGAGATGGGGCTGGAGGGGCTCAGAGCAGTTGCAGATGCACTCCATGATGTCAGTAGGAGTGACCTCCTAATGGAACCTTAGAGGACAGTGAAACTCCTTGCTTAAACACATTCCATCCTTGAATGGAGATGTAGGAGGTGAGATGAGTGCCGAGAAAGATTGGTTTAGAAAGAGAGGAAAGAGGCGCCTGAGGAGTTTGGGATAATTTTGAGCTTTTTTTTTTTTTTAGCAGTCAAGAGTGGCCTTGCCTACTATTTTTCCACATATCAGAATGTGTAATTCTGACAATGCTGTGCACAAAACTTGTGGGAAGTGTGAATATTATCACTAAAGGGGTTTTCCTTTTTGTGGAACAAGAGGTAGAGCAAGCCTTTATTATCTGTTTGAATGTTTACCTAAACACCTCAACTTGAAGTACCCATCCCAGAAGAGACTATAAGAAGAGAATCCTATTGTTTAAACTGAGCTGATTCAGGTGGCGATGTCCATCTGGAGAGCATGACTTGCTGGTACTATTACCGACTTCCTGGTAGCCCAAGGGTGGTATTAATTAAATGCCATGATAACCTAGTATTTAATAGCAGGGAACTGAGAAGCAACTGTTTATTAAACATCCAGAATCCATAAACTGGATTTAAAGCAAGTGTTAAATATTAAATGGTGAGTTGGTAGAAGCTCCAGTCCTTCACACTGGCTGACTCAGCAGGGTTAGGAATACACTGCTTTTCTGTGGTAGTTTGTGCTCTCTCTCGACTAAACTGGGTGGTAAAGAGGACACAATTGCATAATGGTATGTACTTAAAATCACTTGGAGCATCCTGTCCCAGAGAGGAGGGCATTTGAGTAGAAGGACTTTGGGGGTAGCATGGGCCCACAGGGACTTCACTCTCTGTATCCTTCAGCCTTGAGCCTAGAAATCCTTCAGACTTTGTTTTGTTCCAGGCTGTTCCAGATGTGGTTTATTTTTCTGTTGATGCTGTTGTGAATCTGTGTACTTTAAAAACTACATTTTAAGGCAGGGCGCGGTGGCTCACGCCTGTAATCCCGGCACTTTGGGAGGCCGAGGCGGGCAGATCACGAGGTCAGGAGATCGAGACCATCCTGGCTAACATGGTGAGACCCCATCTCCACTAAAAATACAAAAAATTAGCCAGGCGTGGTGGTGGGCACCTGTAGTCCCAGCTACTTGGGAGGCTGAGGCAGGAGAATGGCGTGAACCCAGGAGGCGGAGCCTGTAGTGAGCCAAGATTGCACCACTGCACTCCAGCCTGGATGACAGAGTGAGACTGTCTCAAAAAAACAAAACAAAACAAAACAAAAACAAAAACAAAAAAACACTACATTTTGAAATTATGTAAGTAGTGGCGGGGCGCAGTGGCTCACATCTGTAATCCCAGCACTTTGGGAAGCTGAGGCAAGAGGATTGCTTGAGCCCAGGAATTTGAGACCAGCCTGGGCAACATAGTGAGACCTCAGCTCTTAAAAAAAAATTATGTAAGTAGTAAGTGTCTGTTGTAGAAAATTAGAAAGTGCAGCTAAAAAGAAGAGGAAGTTAACCTATAATGTTTCCCTTCTGAGAGACGAACTATTACATTTGGCATATCCTTCCCGACATTTTTAAAGCGTATCTGGTTTATATATATGCAAATATACATTTATCTTTTCTACCTGTATTCTTTCCCCCCTTAATAATAGAAAAATTCCTTCTTGTAAGGATATGGAACATTAGATATGTGTTTAGATATGATGCATGTGAAGTATTTAAGTTACATAAAAAATCAGGTTTCTCTTTTTCCCTTTGCCATTTTCCTGTCTCTTTATCATATGATGATTTTCATCTCCCCCTGCCCCCTGACTCAAATTCTCTTCTTTAAATAAATTAAAACTTTTGATGACCTCTTTTCAAAGTAATTTCTACCTAGAGATTGCTTTAAGTGATGGGGTAAAAAGCAGATGTATTGCTGGAAAATGTGAAAATGTGATGGAGAAGCTGAATTTTGTTTATTTTACTTTTTCTAATATTTTTATCATGTTGAGAGAACTAGGCAAAGTACTGTAATGTTACATAATTGCGCCCATTTAGAAAGTTGGGCTAGGATAACAAAGTTGTAAAAGTTAATAGTTTACTTGATGAAATTTTGAATTTGAGTGTAATTTTAAGCTCTGCGTACACGTTTTTACCTCTTAAGAGATTTGTATTTAGGAATGGAGGCTTTTATGCAAGAAAAGTTACCCTGTTAAGGTTCTGCTGTTTGTAGGAGAGGGCAAGAGACCTGAGTGTCATTCTGTTATTCAGGAGACAAAACTCTGGTCCTTTCTTTTTCCTTACGTGGGTTTTAGGATTGCCATGGGGGAGCCATCAGGATTGCAGGAGTTGTATAATACTTAAACATTCGGCAGTATTTTAAAGGACCTTCTCAATATAGTTGATGCCCAGTAATGTTTCTGGTCCACTGGACTGCATGGTTGGTGCTGATGTTGATGTCAGTTGTAAATCTTACATGTGTGTTGGGGTAGCACTTTGACATTTGTCTGTGGGTGGATGTTTGCCAAGGATTGTGTACATCTAATATGAGCCTTGATGATACCACCGTTCTTATTCCATTGCAATGTGTGCATGACTTGAAAATGATTGTATTTTATTTTTATTTTATTTATTTATTTATTTTAGAGACAGGGTCTTACTCTGTCACCCAGGCTGGAGTGCAGTGGTGCGATCTCGGCTTTGCTGCAACCTCCGCCTCCCGGGTTCAAGTAATTCCCCTGCCTCAGCCTCCTGAGTAGCTGGGATTACAGGCGCCCACCACCCTAACCAGCTAATTTTTGTATTTTTAGTAGAGACAGGGTTTTGCCATGTTGGTCAGGCTGGTCTGGAACTCCTGACCTCAGGTGATCCGCCTGCCTCAGTCTCCCAAAATTCTGGGATTACAGGCGTGAGCCACTGTGCCTAGCCTTTTTTTTTTTTTTAATTATTATTTTTTAAATAGAGACAGGGGTCTTGCCCTGTGGCCCAGGCTGAAAATTATCTTAGAAGTGCTATGCCACTTCTTTGCCCATTGCCTCCAGCTCGGGAGCCATAACTTCTTTGTATTTTGTAGACTTGGGAACACTGGCTTGTTTTCCTTGCTTTGTTAAGAGTTCTGGAGAATTGGATTTTGGTCATTGTCATGGGAGGGCAAAATACTAGGAATTATATGTGTTAGTTGACTTTGACCATTAGAGAAAAGAGTATGTATACACGGGAGCTGTCTTTGTGGGAAAGAGAAAGCAGTTGATGACAAACGCCTAGCCGTTAGAAAGATTCAGTAAAAAGTGACTTATTAAAATGTTTTATTATCCTGGTCATCTGCTTCAAAAAGTCATTTGCCATTTTTTGGCAGTGAAACACGTATGGCATATAGTATCCTATGTTGATAAAGAATCTGCATTGAGTTTAGATTGACCGTACATAACCTGAAAAGCCAAACAGAATAACAGTGGCTGAACAAGGTCTACATTTACTTGTCTTTGAAAAGAAGTCTGGAGGATTTTAGGGCAGCTCCGTATTGTCGTCTGGGACCCAGGCTCCTATTTTTTACTCCCTCATCCCAGTACTTGGCTTCCATCCTCATTGTCACCCTGTAGTCCAGATGGCTGCTGGAGTGCCAGTTATGAGGTCCAGGTCACAGGCCTGAAGGAGGAGAGGAAGCAGAAGTACAGAAAAGGTGCCCCATGTGGCTGAGTTGGCTCCTATTAATTTCCCAGAAGTCCAGCGTGCCGCATGTGCTTGCGTTAATTGGCCTGACTGTGGTCGCCTGGCCATCGCTAACTGCAGCGGAGACCAGGGAGATGGAGGCTTTTATGCTGGGTGTCAGTGAGCCCAGCTGAGAATCAGGGTCCGTTACCAAGGAAGAGCATTGCCACTGAGGAATTGGCAGCTAGCAGTCTTACCATGGAATCTTAATGCAGGACACGTATTGGTATGAACTATTACCTCAGATGGCTAGCATCACACAGCCAAACAAGTTTAGCCAGGCCCTGGGACGTGTGGCTCAGACCCCTGGCTTAACTACTGGTTTGTACTACTTTACCACATTACATCATTAACTTAAGCATCACACCCTAAAACTACTTGTAAAAAGCCTCTGGCTATAAAAATGGATTTATGTGTCTCTGCTCCATCAGACTGGGGAAAAACAGTTATGTGATTGTTAGCAAACACTTGTTGAAAGATGGTCTTAAATGGAAAGGTTGTCCTTTTGGGGGCAGGTAGATGGACTTCAGGATTTTGTATAGTAAATGGCTTGGCATAATGGCATTTGGTGGAAGAGCAGTTTAATAGTGGCCATTAAAAGTTAAAGTTAAAGTGGCCAGGCGTGGTGGCTCATGCCTGTAATCCCAGCACTTTGGGAGGTTGAGGGAGGAGGATCACCCGAGGTCAGGAGTTCAAGACCAGACTGGCCAATATGGTGAAACCCCCGTCTCTACTAAAATACAAAAATTAGCCGGGTGTGGTGGTGGGCACCTGTAATCCCAGCTATTGGGAGACTGAGGCAGAATCACTTGAACCCAGGAGGCGGAGGTTGCAGTGAGCCGAGATTGCACCACTGCACTCCAGTCTGGGTAACAGAGCCAGACTCTGTCTCAAAAAAAAAAAAAGAAAAAAAGAAAAAAGTTAAATAAGTAAAAATATGAATATTCAAGTAATATGAAAAAGCTTTGCAAACTAAAAACGTTGAAGGTAGTCTCATTATTTTTCTATTCATATTAAATAATTTCTTTCCTTCTCTTAGAAAATATAGAAAAGGGCTGGGCACAGTGGCTTAAGCCTGTAATCCCAGCACTTTGGGAGGCCGAGGTGGGCGGATCTCTTGAGCCTAGGAGTTTGAGACCAGCCTAGGCAACGTAGTGAAATCCCATCTCTGCAAAAAGTACAATAAAATCTAGGTGGGTGTGGTGGTGCATGCCTGTGGACCCAACTACTTGGGAGGCTGAGGTGGGAGGATCGCT